GGGCATCACTGGCTTTGCCAGCATTTATTGTCCATCCCTTATTGCCCTGGAGAATGTGGTGTTGAACTGTTTTCTTGAACCATTGCAGTCTTAGAGTGTAAGTACATCCACAGTGCTTTAGGAAGGGAGTTTCAGGATGTTGACCCTGCCACAGTGAAGGAACAGCGATATAGTCAGGATAGTGAATGGCTTGGAGTGGAACATGCAAGTGGTGGTGTTCTCACATGTCTGGCACTCTTGTCCTTCTAGATCGTAGTGGGTTTGGAAGAAACTGTATTGGAACTGTATGCGCTTGTTCGCTGATGATCACACGTGTTCAGTACCATTCACAATTTCTCAGATAATGAAGCAATCTGTGTAAATATGCAGTAAGACCTGCACAACATTCCCTGCCCTCAACATCTTGGAGGCTGCCATTGATTAGAAACTTCACTGAACCAGACAAATAAATGCCAGGACTACCAGAGGATGTCTCTCCAAAGCCTGTGCACCGTGTACAAGGACAAGTCAGGAGTGTGATGGAATGCTCCACACTTGTCTGGATGAATGCAGCTCCAACAATGCTCAAGAAACTTGACACAATCCAGGACAAAGCAGCCCACTTGATTGGCACCCCATCCACAAGCATCCACTCCCTCTGCTGCCAACGCTCAGTCACAGCAGTGTGTACTATTTACAAGATGCATTGCAGAAATTCACCAAAGCTCCTTAGACAGCACCTTCCAACCCCATGACATTTACAATCGGAGTCCTTTTTGCAGAATTATTTTCATTTATGATGCAGAGAATTTTAGGATTAGGAGTACACGTTCTATAAGAAATACTGACTTTGTACTGTATCAGAGTGAACTTTTGAATGAACAGATCAAGGGGGAGGTGAGGGCCTAATGGTATTATCACTAGACTATTAGTCTGGAGACCCAGACCAAGTTTCTGGGAACATGGGTTCAAATCCTGCCATCGCAGATGGAATTTGAATTCAATAAAAATCTGGAATTAAAAGTCTACTGATGACCATGAAACCATTATCCTTTGTCAGGAAAATCCCATCAAGTTCAATAATGTCCTTTATAGGGAGGAAACTGCCATTCCTACCTGAATAAAAATCAAAAGAACTGTGGATGCTGTAAATCAGGAACAAA